GACTACTAAGTGCTCATGGCACATATATCCCCAGCAATAATACCTGGAATTCTCTTAGAGATAAATGTTTTGTTGATTTTTGAATGTCATATTTTCAAAAAAAAAAATTAAAGCAAACAGCCACATATTGACACTGGATTGATGTAATAGTGGCACGGTGACAGAAACTTTCATACTCAAGGAACACATTTACTTTTGATTTTCAGTGGTGGTTTGTGGGGAGAGTATGGGAGAGAATGTATGTAGGTGGGAACTGATGGAATGAGGTTAAACACAATGACTCTTGAGGATTGGTGACTTGTTCATTTATTTATTCCATCACTATCTAAATTTCTTCTTTCTTGTGATTTGAAATTTGATTGTGTTTTGTTTTATTTTGCTCTGTGATCGTGAACATCTGTGTGCATCATTTTTCCAGGTTATTCTATGGTACCAAATTTCTGACATAATTTTATTTTTAGCATAATATGAAAATAATTCCTCTGGTCCCATTAGGAGTTGTGTTTGAAGTGCATGTATGGTTTATAAGCCCAGTCAGTGCATGTCAGTACTACGGAATGTCTGCTGCCTTCGATCATCTGTATTAGTTGTGGTTGCAAGTGTTTGATGTTTGCTTGGTCTCCAAAGCCTATCATCTGCGTCGTGAGGAAACAGATTGGTTTGATAAACCCAGGGAATCTCGTTTGGAAAATGGACACGGTCTGGACCGAAAACTGCCGGAAAGATTGGTCCACTCTAGACCACTCAGTCAACATCAAGAGCAAGTAAGTGCTATATTTAGCAATCTGATTTAGATTTATATATATATATATAAAAGACTCAATTCTGTTTTAGAATGGTCTTATTATTTTGAAATGAATGGGATCTTTGTCAATCAATTTCACAAATGATTTTTTTTCCATTAACTTAAAGAAGTGTCCTACTCCATCAGCTATGACTTTTGGACGTTGGATTAGAGGTGTGATACTTCTTCCAGGCAATTTAAGTGATTCATTCCTCCAACAGATCATTATTAAGTTTGTATAACAAATCCTGCACTGCTATACAAGAAGAGACTGAGCTTCTGAGACCATATGGAATATTGAGTAAAATAGATTTGAGTAATATTCAATGCTTTCTAATAACAGTATGCCCAGATGCTAAGAAATAGCAAATAAGAAGATGGCCAAATCAAATCAGCCGTGATAGAAAGATTTCATTTGGAGGAGAAAAGGGAACTTATATTTTAGAGGGTCCATTATACAGAAATGTTAGTTGTTTTGCATTCATTTTAGATTTTGTTTGCAAAACTACTCAC